GCTGCTCGTGCAAAGAGCACTTGGCAAGTGCAAAGGCATCGCTGGATGAGGCTGTGCACCCTGGCCCTGCTGGGACTGGACAGGCAGCATCCCGTGGTGGCTCCGTGGGCTCAGCCTGCTCCTCAGGGACCTCGGGGACAACTCATTTCCATCGTGCTGCACTTCAGACAGAGACTTTGAACCCCCGCCAGCTGCCCTGTTGTGAAATCACCACAGAGAGGCTTCGCTTGTTTGTAGCCACGAGAGTCCAAGGATGCTAAAAATAGAGCACTCCTTGAAGGTGATCTGAAAAGCTGAAGATGCCTCTTAAAAACACCGGTTTAGAGCTAATGGGGGCTGGGACAGTGCTCAGGACGTCCTGCTGGGAATCAGGAGTTGCTCCACAGAAGGAATCCAGCAGCCTTTGCCTCAGAGGGGGCTGCAGGGATGCTCCTGGGTGAGCAGCAGTCAAGAAAAGCACTCTGTAAATGCAGGACCTGGTAATTGCAGGTGGACAAGTCCATGGCTGTGCTGGGATTCCTCAGCAGAGAGTCAGAGAAGCAGTAATGAGGGCAGCTGGAGCATATTGTGTTTTCTTTCCCTCCCCCTGCCCCATTAAAGCTCTCAGCCACTGCAGCACAAAGTCAAAGCAGTTTCCTTTTGAAATATAAAGTGAGTGCAGCATCTGTGTTTCACTCTGGCTTTTCTTCACGTAGCAGGGCAGGTATCTATCCCAAGGTACATCTTTGATCCTGCCCTTTAAATAAACCATTTTAAGGCTCACAGACCCCTTTTCATCACCAGCCACCTCGGCTCATGGCACCAAATGCCCGTGTTTATATCCTGCCTCGTGGCTGGAATCAAAGTGTTGCTGTGGGAAACTGCACATAATTCATTAAAAAGTTTAAAAAAAAAACCAAAAAACCTGACTTTCTGTCCCTGAATTAATCCCCACGTGTTCAGCCGTGCTCCCAAGCCCTGAGGTGCAGGAAATATCCGAGCACTTGTGGTGCTGGCAGGGCTTGGCTCCAAGCATCAGCACTCAGTTCCAAGTGCTCATTCCAAAAGGATGATGGACAAGGGGGGAAGAGTTGGTCACTGCTCTGACAACACCCCAGTGACCCCACAGAGACAGGAGCAGCGTGAGGAGCTGGTGCAATAGGAAGAGCTGACCTCAGGAATGCAGTGAGAGGTGGCCTGAAATACAAATGTGCTGCAGAACCCATCAGGTTTGGGGCAAGAGCTGCTGCCTGTGGATGCTCATTCTGCAGCCCAGGGGTGAGCAGTGGCTCTGGAGGAATCTCAGCTGGTAAAACCTGAGACAAAACCAGCACAGAGTTCCCGTTTGGTGTCCCAGTGAGCACCACAGCACCCAGTTTGTTCTTTTTGGGTAGGACCCACAGGCGAGAGAGCATCCCAGAACTGCCACACCAACTCTGGCTTCTCATATTCTCCTCAAAAATCCCAGGAGCTGGAGACTGAGCTGATAAGAGTCTGACACCTAATGGGCACAAGCAGAATTGTGACAAGCACAGGAGCCAGCTGGAAGTGTCCTTGCGGGAATACTGACAGCATTGCCCCCCAGCAAAGCCCGCGGAGATGGACGGAAAGGAGGGATTTGTGTAAAGAAAAATCTTAAAAGCCCACACGGCCCATGTCCAGGATTGTAAACATGAAATATTTATAATTTAACCTAGATAGGAATGAGTCATACAAAACCCATTAAAAGGTTCCAGGTACAGAATAAGAGAGAGGGGATGTCATTTCATTTGATATTTTAGAGGTCCCTGCCACATGGTAGCAAGGAAAGGTCAGGGTTACAGTTAAAACTCTTGGCACTAATTTGTGTTTTCCACTTTGTGTTCTTACACCAGATACACTTGGAGTCAACAAGGAAAAGGGACATCTTCCAAAGCAATGAGCTGTGCCCCGCAGAGACCTTCAGCTGCACTTTGTATAATGGTAAGTGATGAATGGGAAGCCAACCAGGTATGACTCAAAAATGTTAAATCCATTCTGTAACCTGCCTCTGTACTATAATTACACTTTAGTTTGCTTCACGGAGTCAGTTGGTTTCTTTCCTTAAAAAAAATCTGTCAACCAAAGGTGATTTACAGCAACAATGTCCTCCAAGGCAAGACAAAGCATGGCTTCCAGGATTGAGCTCCACCAAAAACTGCCCTTGAACCTCCTCCTGCCTCAGGTGCTGCTTTCCTGGGCAGCATCCAGCCCTGCTAAAAGGAAGTTCAGACCATCTCTGTTCCATTCAGAGGGTAAATAGAAATGTTCAATACCCAGCACTGCTTCCTGGCAGCTATCACAGGCATGTCTCTTCCGTTTTGTTTTTTTTTTTTTTTCCCTAAATTAGATCTTTCTATTATAACTTCAAGGCCTCACGCATCTCCTTGGCATTTATTAAATAACAACTAAGGTCTTCAATTTGCCATGTTACTACATGATCCAGTTGTTCTCCATCTAATAAATCATCTGAGATCAGACTGAAGGAGCTGAACAGGGCAGGGAGATGTTGGAGCAGGGCCAGCACTGAGTGTCCTGAAGTTCACTGCAGCCATGTGAAAAATGGACCCTAAACACTGAGGGTGAGGGAAAATCAGATTGGGCTCCATTCACCTCCTTTCTCCACTGCTTTTCCCCCCAAAAACTCAGTGGTCACAGCAGGACTGTGCTGTTGTAAATCAGTTTTGTCCCAGAACCCAAAGAAGTGCTCAGGGAATGCAAAACTGCCCCCAACAGATGAAAGGGTTTGTGAAATCCGAGGTTATTGACTTCCCTCCTGTCCTAGACATGGCTGTGCCCTCAGCCAGCATCAGTTGTGACCCATATTCCCAAAAAACTGCAGCACAGCAGACGTGGCTGGTGTTTTAACATAGCTCCATGAAGGAATATTAATTGGCCCCGGAGCCACAGGTTACCGAACAACAAAATCTGCCCAGTGAGTCCTTTTATTCCTGCTAATTTGGTTTTAATCTTGAACTTTCTCTTGCTGGGGAAAAAAATAAAAGCCATTGCCTGAGCTCTGATTTCAGGCTCTGAGGTATCCAGAGGCACCTGTAATGAGCACCTATCCCTGCAAACAGGAGCAGCAGATCCGGAGGTCAGGGGAGATGTTTCATTTTGGAAATGTGAGCGTTCCCCTGCCATTCCAGCCATTCTAATGAGGGGTCCAATTAGTGCTCCTGACTTTGTCATCTGTCCAGCACGGATGGGGACCACTGCTCTCATTCCTGCCAAGATCAGGGATCAGGAAGGCAAATCATCCCTAATGGCACCTCTGCTCTTCTTTCAACTAAAAGTGGCACACAGAGCCACAAATGCCACCTCGGCTGGGGACAGCAGAGCTCTCCCCAGCAGCCTCCCCCCTCCACAGCAACTGCATGTGCACAAAAACATTTATCAGGCTTCTGGCCACAGCTTTGACTTTTAATTTTATTTTAAAAGTGCATTCACATGTAAATTGACTTGGCCCGGGAGGATACATGAATACAAGAGCCCTTTCTTCCTTCTGCCGCAGCATTAGGGAGGAATATGGTGAGCGAAGCAAAGTTTCCTCACCTCCAGGCTGCAATTCTGCAGTGAAGGAAAAGCAAGTCCATTGTTTCCTCCTGCACACAGATGCTGGCTGTGCTGTTTTCAGCAGTCTCGTTCAAGCGAGCCAGATCAGAACATAAAAGCATGTTACATATCCCAGGGACAAGAACACACAGGCAAATGTCTTATCGGCTCTGTTTTATCTGTTGTAAGAGCAAGAGATAAACTAATACAAGTTTGTAAGTCTGTCTGATGGTTTGAAACGTGGTCCTGGCACCACATTCCCACGGTCAGACCTACTTTGGTAATAGAGAATTCATGGGGTGAAGAAAATAATTAAATTGTGAAGCTGGAGGTGAGGAAAGGGCACAGAAATACAGGTGTTCCCAAACCAAGAATCTCTGGGATAAAAGCAGGTGGAAATCTGTTCCTCGCCATATGTCAGCCCCATATCTTGTGATGTGTTGCCACAGAGCACAAAAAGAGTGCAACACTCTCAGTTGCCCCATTTCCAGCCTGGGACCCTCCTTAGCTGCTGTTCCCCACCTGTCATCACCCAGCCCGAGCTCTTCCCCTGTGATTTTGAGGACACCCAGCCAAAAGATGCTGATTTCCTCTGCAGCATCACAGGTGTTCCAGCCCCACGGGGAAACAAAACGCACTGACAAAGTGAAAGCAGGCAGCACTTTAGGTTGAGGCACGGGGGTTTAATGTTTGCTAGAGACAGGGAATGGAAGTGCTTGTGCAGATTTATAGACTGAGAGCCGTGACTCACTCTGTGTGTTTTAGAAATGAGCAGGTTGAAACGGGTGTCCCGCAAGGAAGCATCCCACATCTTGGTTCTGCTCTGGAAGCACAGGGATGATAGCACCGGGTTGGCAGTGTATCCTCGGGGAAAACCCGCTTGCCAACAAAACAGGGATGAATTAGAGCACTAAAACTTTGCTGTTTTGATACGTGAAACCTCCAACAACCCAACGGCTCCAGGAGCCCCAGCACCGACCGCTTCAGCGGCTGAAAGCAGCGGCCCTGCCTCTCTGCGCCTCACTTCTCGTTCTGCACCCCAAACTTTGCACTTGGGACAGCCAAGTGTTGCACCCTGCCGATATTTTGAGTCTCCCCCAGTCTGGCGCCCCGAAGGGAGCGGGTGGATCATCCCCCGCTCTGCGACAAGAGCCGAGCACAATCGCCTCCTTTCCGCTGCCGTTCTCCCGGACCGCGCCGGGGCCGCGGCTCGGAGCCCGGCCGTGGCCGCGGGGCTGCTGCAGGAAGCCGCGGTGCCCTTCCCCCGGCGGCCCTTCCGTTACGATCGTTACCGGGCTGCCGCCGCCCTCCCTCCGCTCCGCTCCGCGCCGGCTCCGGGCCCGCCGCCGCCTTTGTGCCCCGGCCCGGTGCGCTCCCTCCCCGCCTCCCCGCCGGAGCCCTGCGGCGCATGCCTCCCGCTCCCCGGGGGCAGGGAAGGAAGCGCCGCCCGCCCCTGCACCAGCGCGGCGGGCAGCGGCGGAGCGGAGCCCGGCGGAGCCGACAGCCCGGCCCGGCCGCCGCCGACCCCCGTCGCCCCTGTCGGCCTCCTCTCGGCAGGTGAGCGGCGGGCGGGGGGCGCGGCCGGGCCCCGCCGAGGAGCCGGCGGCCGAGCGAGGCCCGGGCCCGGCTGCGGGGCGGCGGAAGGCGGGAAGGGGCAGCCATGGCGGCGCGGGCAGGGCCCGGCCGGCCGCGGGCAGCGGGCGCGGCGCCCCGCGGGGGTCCCGCGGGCGGCGGCTGCAGGCGGCCCCCGAGGGTGGGGGACCCGTCACAGCCCCCCGGGGTGCGCCCCGAGCTGGGGGCACCCTCATGTCCCCTCACGGAGCCTCTGTGGGTGCCCCCGGGTTGGTGGCACTTTATGTCCCTTCACGGAGCCTCTGTGGGTGCCCCCGGGTTGGTGGCACTTTATGTCCCCTCACGGAGCCTCTGTGGGTGCCCCCGGGTTGGTGGCGCTTCATTTCCCTTCACGGAGCCTCTGTGGGTGCCCCCGGGTTGGTGGCACTTTATGTCCCCTCACGCACCCTCTGTGGGCGCTCCTCGGGTTGGTGGCGCTTCATGTCCCCTCACGCACCCTCTGTGGGTGCCCCCGGGGTTGATGGTACTTATGTCCCTTCACGCTCCCTCTGTGGGTGCCCCCGGGGTTGATGGCGCTTCCTGTCCCCTCACGCACCCTCTGTGGGCGCTCCTCGGGTTGGTGGTACTTTATGTCCCCTCACGCACCCTCTGTGGTGCCCCCGGGGTTGATGGCACTTATGTCCCCTCACGCACCCTCTGTGGTGCCCCCGGGGTTGATGGTGCTTCATGTCCCCTCACGCACCCTCTGTGTGTGCTCCTCGGGTTGGTGTCCCTTCACACATCCGCTGTAGGTATCCCCTGAGCCAGCATCCCCTCATGTCCCCATACACAGTCTCTGTAGGTACCTGCTGTGTGGGAGTCCCATAATGTCCCCTCAAGCAGCTCCTGTGGGTGTCCCGTCATTTCCCCTCGCAGAGTTGCACAGGGTAACCCACTCCTCCTGGGTGTGTGTGCCCTCATTTCCCCTCAGATCCTGTCTGGGTACTGCCCCTGGCGGGTGTCCCCTCACACCCTCACTGCGTGTCCCCTCATGTCCCCTCACACCCTCACTGCGTGTCCCCTCATGTCCCCTCACACCCTCACTGCGTGTACCCTCATGTCCCCTCATGTCCCTTCACACCCTCACTGCGTGTCCCTTCATTTTCCCCTCACACCCTCAGTGCTTGTCCCCTCACGTCCCCTCACGTCCCCTCACACCCTCACTGCATGTCCCCTCATGTCCCCTCATGTCCCCTCACACCCTCACTGCATGTCCCCTCATGTCCCCTCATGTCCCCTCACACCCTCTGTGAATATCCCCTGGGTGAGTGTCCCTTCACGTCCCCCCTCAGGCAGCACCCAGGTGTCCCCTCACAGTCTCCATGGGTGCCCAGACACAAAAATTCACCCCAGTCCCTTATAATTCCTGCAGGACCCCCAGCCCAAGTGTGGGATAGTGAAGGCACCTGGCCCTTTTCTGAAAACTGTGGAAATAGGTTAATAGGAAAAACGTTGGGGTTTTATTTTTTAATGAAGCTGGGAGCTAAAGTGTGTTAATTGTGTTGCTTCAAGGTAATGAGGTATCCTAATTTCTGTCTTTTTGATCCTTAGCTGCTTATTACAAGGAAAAATGTTTTTAATTTATATTTGCCCAAGCGAAGAGTGATGAAGAATTGTCTTCCCTGGTTGTCTGTTGTCTTATTCTCTGTAAATAAAAACAAGTTTTGAAGAGTTTAGAGTTGCTAATCCTTTAAAATATTTAATACCACTGTTTAATTTGAAACCAGAGCTAGAGAATAATTGACAAGTGCAAGGTTAGGGAGGTTTCAGAGGGAAGATTGTGTCGCTGTGCGTTGGCAGAGTCCAGTGCCACTGCAGTTGGGACTCACTGTGCTTGAGTGGAGCCTGGGCTTGAAGAGCCACCCAGCTGCAGTAGTTTTTGGGAATTACTGTCACCCTTGATCCTCCCAAATGATGCTGCAGGTGAAGCCTTCGACCCTCATGGGACTATGTGGAGGTGGTGAACTCTTTGGGGTGTTAAGTGGAGTTTTGTGGGTGGCTTTTTCCACTCTTCCATAAAACAAAGCTTCGTTCTGTCTGCGGTTTCTACTGGAACACAAAGAATAGTTCCTAATCTTCATCCTGCTTTTATGCACTCCCCAAGATCTGTGTTTGCCAAGAGCTTTTATCCTGCAGTGAGGCCGGATGACTGATGTCTCAGGGTTATTTCTCTAAAGTGTGTTTCAGGAAGAAATAAGTTCCCTTTCCTTCTCTCTCAACTGCCCCAAGTCCCTCAGCTGTGTGTGTTTAATGCCAAGTCAGATCTAGCAAAAGCTGTTTTGGGATATTGTGTGAGTACTCTGCTCTCTGAGGAGAAGTCGGTTTATATCCCGCCATCCCAGATGATGGTCCAGGTTTCTCCACATCCACGCGTCCTGCACCATGTGGACACAGCCAGTGCTGCTTTCCTTGGAAAACTGGAAAACTGAGCTGCATGATCTTTAAAAAGGACAGTAATGCCAAAGGAAACAACGAGCAGAGTATTTTGCTGGGTTCTCCACTCCCACTATGAAGGCATTCCTTAAAATTGTTCTTTCTCTCCTGCCACAAAGTTTTCTGCAAAAATATTCAGACAGCCTGAGTGCAAAGGGGATTGCACACACCAGTGCACTGCATCCCATCACAGTGGGTCTTTGTGGGTCTGGGCAGTGCATCATTATTCAGGAGCGCATGCAAAAAGGATTGGAAAGCAAGGAAGAGTTTCAAAAGTTAATTACCTGAATTAGGTTATGTTCAAGTGATGTTGAGGAGTAATTCCTGTGATTATCTGGCACAGTAGTTCTTTCTGAGTGTTAATAATTTACAGTTTATGTTACCAGGATTATTACATGGAATTTCTAGAAGGCAGACGCTTAATAAATATTTTCCTTTTTTAATTTGTTTTAGGATGGAGGAGAGACCCGTCTGAAAATCTGTTCCATTGTGAACTTTGCTGTGGTCTGCTAGAATGTTCCTTATGGATGCTCCTCCTCTGGTAGCTCTTCAGACAAAATGGGAGTCCTTTGGACCAGCAAGGAATTGTAGATACCCCGTTTGCTTCCCTGAATCCGACAGCAACGTCACCAGAACCTCCGTGAGCGCCAAAGTTCAGATGATCATAAACAACCTGCAAAGCCAAGAGCCTGCCCTGGGTATGAACAATGAGTGTGGCTGTGTTATGCAGAAAAAACAGAAGGGAGGAAAAGGCACCAGTACCAGAGTCACATCCAGCACCACGCTGCTGCGGAAGCATCCTCAGTACACCCAGTGTGGGTGCCCTGAGGATTCTGACGGCAGCCAAGCAGAAGGGAATGTAGAGTTTGGGACTCTGCTGCTCGATTCTGACAGCGACGATTCTGTGGACCGAGGTATAGAGGAAGCCATCCAAGAGTACTTGAAAACAAAAAGCAAAAGTGCCCAGTCGTTGCCAAGGAATGCAGAACGTTCTGAGAACCTGAGCAGGGACAAAAGGTTTAAGAGAGAGTTCTCCCAGAAGAAAGTGGCAAGTAACCTCCTCCCTGTGAAATTTAAAGCAGAGATGCTCTCTGAAGAGTACCTGTCTGACCACCTGGCAATTGGGAAAAGGCTTCAGCCCGCTTCCCCTCAGAGCATCAGCAGCGATGACTCCTTTGATCAGAGCATACAAGCTGAAATAGTGCAGTTCTTGAATGAGAAGAAGCAGCAAGAAATGAGCAAATGTGTTACCGAGGAGGATAAAAAGGATTCCCGTGTGAGATCTGTCCTGAAATGCAACAAAGAAGCAACAAACAGAACAAACTGTGGTGCTATAAAGCAAGGTTGTAATGCACTGCTCCTGAGACACCATCCCAAACTGCAGAAGTCCAGTGCCCAGTCCAAGTGTTTGCAGTCAAAAATCCAAGCAGAGCCCAGTGATTTCAGCCAGGTGAGCCAAGCATATCTAGAAATGGCCACTGCCAGCCAGCCTTGGCTCGTGGAGCAGAAAGAGGGAAGTGGAAGTCATTACTGGGAGCCAAGGGAAGCACTCATCAAGGAGAGCATGCACACATCTGACTCAAGCAGCGATGATGGCATCGAAGAAGCCATTCAGCTTTACCAGCTGGAGAAAATCAGGAAGGAGGCAGGTCATGCAGCAAACTGTGTCCCTTTGCAGAGGGAACCATTTGATCCAAAGGGTATGGCAGACATTTCTGCCAGCCTGACAATTAGCTCCACAAAAAGTGCCTCACCAGAAATCCATAAAAACCCTATAAGCAACAAGAGAAAAGAAGTTAATTCCACGTCAACGGGATTAGAAAGCACCAGCAATGATTTTAATAAGCTGTTTAAACCACTGAAAAAAGCCAGACATTTCGCACTTCCAGAAAACAAGATTACTGCTTGTGAGCTCACATTGCAGGCCTCTTGCAGAGCAGACACATCTGCAGAACTCATGTGTGCAGAAGCTATCCTGGATATTTCCAAAACAATCATGCCATCCCAAATGGGAAGTGACAACAAATCCCTCACTGCAGACTCCTTCTTTTCTCCCCAGCTTCTCTCGTCCTCCCGTTGTGAAAGTGACAGCAGCCTTGTGGACAGTGATGACAGCATAGAGCAAGAAATCAGGGCATTTTTGGCTCTGAAAGCACAGTCAGAAAACCTTGGAACAAAACCTCCCAGCCTGTCACGCTCCATGCACATGCCTTTGCCTTCTGATCCAAACAACCTCACTGAGACCCTTGAGCCTGCTCTGCCCAAAACACTGAAATTATCCCTGAGTCGGAAAAGGAGACTTAAAAAGGAAGGCAGAACAGCAAAACAAGGTGGGTCAAAACTACCTGAACAGCTGGAGCCAGGACTTTTCCAGCCAGGTAACTGTTCCAAATTCCCAGTGCTCCCAGAGGAGCATGCCCTGAGCAGCCCTGCAGAACTCCGGGATGCACAGAGTCACAAAGACTCGAGGCAGCAGCAGCTGATTTCTCCCAAATCTTCTGGCTCTGATGGCAGCAGATGTGTGGCCTTGGACTCTGCAAATCCTTTTCTGCAGGTTCAGAGCAGCACAAGAAAACCTACAAAAATCCCCATCCAAACCCCAGAGAGGGAGGGGTCGGGTGATGAGAGCAGCTCTCTGGACAGTGATGAGGACCTGGATTCTGCTATCAAGGACCTGTTACAGTCTAAAAGGAAGTTAAAGAAGAAATCCAAGGACCAGAAAGCTCAGTGCAAGAAGAAAGTCAGATTCACTGAGACAGAAACTCAGCTGCTGGATGAGTTCAGTGGCCTCCAACAAAATGAGTGGAAATGTAAAAATCCCTCACTGCTGAAAAGCTGCCTCTCAAAACCTAGGAAAGCTGTGAAGGAGAATGCAGTCAGGAATCCTCCAGACAACATCAAACTTCCCAATGACAAGCCAGAAACCGTGAAAAACCTGAAGTTTAACTTACAGCATAAAAAAGGCAATAAACATAAACCAGTTTCAAACCAGCGGGGGGCTAAAAATAGAAAATGTGCTTTCCCAGCTGTGTCAGATGCCAGTGACAGCAGCTCAGTGGACAGTGATGACAGCATCGAGCAGGAAATCAGGAGGTTTTTGGCAGAAAAGGCTAAAGACTCTGCAAGCAGTTCAGAGATGCAAAAAGGTGATGCAAGTCTGGACCTACTTAGAGCAACCAAACAAAGTGGTAATAAAGGAAAAGCAAAGCAGCAGCTGGTGGAAAATGAGATCGACCTCGTGCCGGGTCAGAGTAAAAAGACTGAGGTAGCTCAGCAAACTGAGGAGGTGAAGAACTCTCAGAGAACAGAAGGGAAAAGTGCAATTTTAGCTGGCAGTGGAAAATGTGCTTCCTCTGCAGAGAATGTTCCTACTACTGCTCAGTCAAAAGCTAAGCAAGGACTGGGGGGGGTCAGAGGTGGTGCTGCTGAGGAGTTACCTGGGAGTGCAACAGGTAAAAGGAATGTCCGTAACACAGAGCCCCCAAAACCCAGCAGAAATGAAGGATGTAAAGTGAGAAAAGTCATGAATGCAAAGCCCAGATCTAAAAGGAAGAATACCTTCCAACTAAAAATCTCAAGTAAATTTATTGCAGGTCTGAAATATGCCCGGGACAGGAAGAAATTGATGCTTTTGAACAAAAAGCAAAAAGCAGAGTGTTTGCTCAGGCAGAGCAGTGCCTTGGGAATGGAGGCATCTTCCCAGGACACAGATGTACTAAACCCCTTGCCAAAAGGCAAATTTAGTGGGGAAATTACACCAGCAATAAAAGAAGCCAGTTCTCAGAAACTCATTGTGGGAGGGGCGAGTCCCCAAGTAGCAGAAAGCTGTGCAGGAGCTGAGTGTCTCCAAGAGGCAGCTGAGGGTTGCAGGAAGGCTGAGGCTCCAGGGGATCAGTCCCACTCCTGCCTTCCCTCACAGGAACAGAGTGTGGCAGCAGGAAAAGCTGATAAGGTTTGCAGAGGAACCTCCAGAGCTGAGAACACCCAGATGTGGATCAAGGAAGGAGATATCCAGCGAGACAACTGGGCTGACTCCACTGCAGATCCCCCACACCCTGAGTGCAGTGTGGGAAAAGCAGATAAAGCCAGCAGAGAGCCAGCTCAGCAGAGTGCTCAGGAGGACAGTAAGGGAGGGAATAACCAGCTGGACAAGAGGCCAGATCCAAGTTTAGCTTGCCCAAGGCAGGAATTCAATGTGACAGCAGCAGCAGTGCATGATAGTGGAGGAGCATGTGCAGATCACAGTGTGCAGATGTGCATTAAGGAAGAAAAAGTTGACAGGCAGGGAGAAATTCAGGTATCCAGCTTGAAAATGGAAGGAAAAATACCTGTCCTGCAGAACAGGGAAGCTGCTAGTGAAGTACACCAAGGGCAGGAATTTTTAACCAAAACCTGTGCAAAATTCACTGACCTACCTGCAGGGGACTGTCCAGGTTCCCTCTTGGAAAAAAAGGTTTCAAATATGTAAGTACTTTTTTTTTTTTTTTTTTTTTTATATAAAAAGTTTTTTTTTTTTTTATTTTTTTTTTTTTTTTTTTTTTTTTTTTTACACTAGCAGTCTTTTTATAAAATAACTGTGATTATAATTACCTTGATAAAGCTTGAGACAGGAAAGGAGAAGCAGTGCGAGATGCTGATACCTGTATATCATACACACACTAATGTGAAAATAATTCTATTTAACAGGGATGTCACAGATAGGCATTCGTAGCTTTTGTAGAATTTTGTAAATTATTTAAAGTGCTCTAAGGAAATATTTTTTATAATGATTTTTAGGGCTTGCATTCCTACAGGATGCTGTAGTTACTGTAGATAAAATATTGGCTAATCACACTTTAAATTATGAGGCCTCTAATTGTCTCTCAAAGGGAAACCTGTTTGCGCACAGAATTTATTTGGGAACCTGTTAAGAGATCCTAGGAAAGCCCAGCCTTGGATAGCAGTGCCGATGATCTGAGCTGCCTCAGGACAATCCTGCGGGCTGGCTTTTGCTGGAGCTCAGTTTTCCCACCCTGAGGACTGTGGGGTGAGGTCCCTGAGCAGAACTCAGCTGTGGGTGTGGAGATCCAGCCTGGAAGATAAAAATGCAAATTCAGGTCAATGAATGGCTCTGTCTGCAGAGTGATCTCAGCAGCTGCTCAAAGTCCTTTTACATACCCAGAACCTCCTGCTAGCAGATGATTCCAAGCACAATTGCAGTCCAAGACAAGTGAAGGAGTGTGTCTGTTCAGACAACATGATTTCCCTGGATTTCTGTGGATTTCCCTGCATTTCCCTGGATTTCTGTACTGTTGGATCTGTAGGGCTCAAACAATTCCACATTATTCTCAACTCTCATTTTGATGTCCTGCAGTTACCCAGAGATGGCTTTTGGTTTCCTGAATGAACTTCTGGAACTGAGTGCCCTTAACTTTCCTTTTTCAGAAGTGGTTTTTAAAATGTTACATTTCTGTGAACTTTTCACGGACAATTTTGGTGCAATAAAGCAAAGCTGAGTTTGCTGTAGGAAGTCGCAACACAAACGGATTTTTTCAGCCACGGATATTTTCAGCACTGTTCTTTCTTCAGGCTCTTTCTCTGCCTCCGTTTCCAGCAGCCAGAATAAAGCAATTTTTCACTACTATCTTTTTATTTGTACTGACTTTCAACGGGATTGAAGTAGCACATTCACATCACACACACAAAAAAGTGCCCCCACACTGGTTTCGCTGCAAATTCAAAAGGTGTAAATTGGAGCTGTTGGCTCTTTCATTTTCATTTTTGTGTTGTGAAGTCCTTGGAGGAGTTTGTTCTCACATCTTGTCCCTGTGAATTGATCTGATATTCTCTTTGTCTGCTCTTCTGCAGAACTTCTCAGCCAAACCACCACTTAGCATCACTCTGTTTCTCAGTCACTTCAGGCGTCTTCCTCCAGGCTGGCCTTAAACTTGCAAAATGGAGCAAAAGCAGCCAAGACTGGATCCAGAATCCCGTGGTGGCCCTGGTGTGATGCAGAATGTGGGCAAAATACGGTGTAGCATAGAGTAGTGACTGTGGCATGTAGAGAAATAAACTTCCTTGGTGTGTTCATGCTGTCGTGCAGCTACGTTTGAAACATGTTCCTAGTGCTCACTTGGTGTTTCTGACTGTCCAGCCACCTCTTTGTAGCCCTGGGGTTGGCTGGTCGGGTTGTTTAAAGGTCAATGTGTTAACTCATCTCCATTTTGTGGTAGGATTCCTTGGAAAAGTGGTTTTTCCCTAGTTCAGTGCCTGCACTCCCTCTTCACAGGTTTATCTTTTGCTCTGCCTTGATTCCGTTGCAGGATTTGAGCCTTTTGTTTGGAATAGGTCAATAGGCTGGTATTTTAAACTAGAAGTTTTCCAAGTACCTTGCTTTAAAAGGATTAAAGTGTATACTTAATTTTCCTAGAGATGTTGGAAGCACTCTGTACTGTTTGTATAAAAAGCTGAATGTTTCTTCTCAAAAGTTTTCAGTAAATCCACATTAAGACTTCAAAGGTGTCTCGTGCCCCTGTTGCTGTGTCTGTGTCCTCAGTACCTGACCCACTCCCAGTTAAAATGCAATTCCAGTTACCTTGTGCTTTAAATAAAACCTGATTTCAAACAGCACTTTTTTATTTTAATTGATGAACTTGATTTGTATATAGGAACTGGTGTACATTGCTGAGTTTCTAATGTTTAATAAATGGGGTTCTGCCCATGGACCGTGCAACCGGAGTGTTCCTATGGTTTGTGTCATCATCTTGAGTGAGTAACAATTTCTGTGTTCCCTCTTCTTCCCTCCTGACTGAGGATGTCATTAATTCTCTGTAACAAAAAAAAAAAAGGAGGAGAATTTACAAAACACACAAAGGGGTGGCTTTTGGGAGAATGGTGCTTGTGGTAGCAGAAGCCCAAGAGTTCTTTCCTGGTGTTTGTGGTTAGGAAGTGGAATCTTTGTGTGACTGAATGTCTGTCAAGGAGCATCTCTGTATTGAAGGGCTCCAGTGGCAGTGTCCTCATCCTGGCCCAGTTCTCATTGCTTGCTCAGAAAAGAGAAGTCTGGTGGCTTGGCAGCAATAAAAAATCCTTTACACATCACTAAAGGCTGAGCAGTAAAAAGTATTATCTTGAGCAACAACAAATTCCCACACGTGGGACCAAGGTTGGGACTGCAGCACGAAGCTCTCAAGGCTGAATCTTCATAAAAGCAGTTCCAAAAGCAGATTTTATTTGCTGTTCATAGTCCCTTGAGAGCCCCAGGGAGGGCACAGAGTGGGCACAGCCTGCACAGCCCTGCTGGCCCTGTCACTCCAGTGCCAGCTCTGAGGAGTGTCCAGAAAATTCCTTTTCTCATTACTCCCACCCTCCTGAGACACCAATTAATTATAATTATTGCAGTAGATAGAAGGAACCACAAACCCAGCTCTTCTAAAACTTGTGAAGTTACCTTGTTTTTAATGAGTGCTGGTTCATATTTTTAAAAAATGCACAATGCTAATTTTACTTTCCAGTCAGAGCACAAAACTTGTTAATTTAGATATTAAGTGCTTAAACCACTTGGTGTTTTTTATTTTGGCTCTGGTGAGTTACAGATCCTGGCTGCAGTACCACAGCTGTCAGATAAATCTGAAAAGAGGTTTATTGCTTCATTTTTTACCCCAGTGACCGTTTTTGGGTGCTTTGGGAACAATCCTCAAGCATCCTCAAGGGGCAGCAAGGACTCCCTTAATTTTTTATTCCCAGTTCTTTGCTGCTATTTTAGGAACATGTGTTTTGGCATGTAGCTGCTCTTTATACAAGGCAGGAACACACCACCCCTGCCCCCATTTCTTTTATTAATGTAGAAGCTTTTTAATTTTTTATCCCCTCAGTTGGTGATAATTCAGCCTCACATAATTTTATCTGCAAATGTGAAAATCTTCCTTTCAAAATAGAGTAGAAAGAGATTGTTTCAGGTAGATCCTGTGTGGTAAAAATGAGTCATTTTTAGGATGATATTTTGAATTTGTACAGGTATTTCTTTTACAAAAAGTGTATTTGGTGTAACCTCTGAATATTTAGATATGTTGCATGCCAAACTCCTCAAAGGAATTGGTTTGAAGAAAAAAATTAAAAGGGAAGAAACTGAGGCAAGAAAGAAGAGGTGGGTGTTTTCAGATGAAGTGGGAAAATATGTGACAGAATCCACTCTGTTAATATTTTTAAGAGGCAGCCTTATCCCTAAATTATGCCACCTGCAGAAAAATCTGTGGATAAAAACTTATGTAACATTGTCACAACTATTTCTATTGATTAAGCACTTTGTTATTTTCTCATTTCAGGAGCAGAAAGAGAGGTTCTAAAGAAGCTCCAGGTATTGCCTAGAGTCTGATACGAGGATCACAGCAAATGGAAGAGAGTTGCTTATTTATTTTCAGATGTTAAATCTTTGAAATGTTAATTTTTCAGGCCCATTCTGCTCAGTTTTTTTACCTGTTCCAAATTAATATTTTTGGTGTGTCAGGGAATGTTTCTGACATGTGAAGAGTGTCAGTTGCAGTGGTGTTTGGACATAATGTTCCACTCATTATTTATATTTTTAGCAAACAGTTTGAATAATATTATGCTCATTTCTAATGTTCTGTTACACCTGTAAGGTGGGACTGTTTCTTATCCATAAACAGGCAGAGTAGTTTCTCTTAAAAACTCATTTTTAAGCCAAAAATGTTCAGGTGTTCTTTCAGGTGTCCAACTGATGCAGTTTCTTTGCCTGTACCTACAGTTGTTCCAATAAAAGTTAAAAAAACAAACAAACAAACAAACAAAAACCACTTCTTTTTGATTACTTGTCATTATTTGAATAATTTCTTAAAACTCTGTAGTTTGGAGAGAGAAGAAACATGAACTTTCTACAAGAAATCCAAAGAGTTAACGGATACCTCTGGATTATTACTATTATTATTATACCAGCCTGATTACTCATTAAATAGCAAAGAGGCAGTTTAGATCTTCATTTTTAATGACACGTAGTACATAAAGCAAAAGTGTGAAGGATTCTTAATGACAGAGAAGGGGGATAAAGGGATAAAAACAGAATTTATGCTGTCCTAGCATTTCTATGCTGCTGGTAAAACGCCTCACATGAGCTACCTGACAACCACATTAAATCTTCCACCTATTACCCTTAATAACATCCCTCTGTAATCTGGTGGGTCCCGTTGGTACCGAGGAAGGTTGGCTGCCGTGGGCGTTTTCCGGGGCACACAGGAGCTGCCTAGAGGGGCTGGTCCCTGCAGTGCGAGGGGCCGCTGGGGTTGTAGCTGGGGTGGAAATCCAGGTGCTCGCAGGCGGTGATGAAGGTGTCGGGGCCGGTGCAGTGACTCTTCTCCATGGACGTGTTGAGGCCGCCGCTCCTGCACATGCCGATCCTGCCCAGATGATCCGAAAACTTGTGCGGGAGGATGTGGAAGGAGCTCTGCGGGGCGGAGAAAAGGTACGAGGGTAGGGTGGGTAGGGATGTTTAAAACGCGGACAGCACCTGCCAAGCCTGGCCGGGTGCGGCGGCAGGGAGGCGGATCGGGGCAGCGTCGCCGTCCCCGGGGCGGCTCGTACCGGCAGTTCGTGCACCGTGGGGGCCCTGCTGCCGTAGCTCTGGTTGGCCGTGCGGAAGCGGGGGTGAGCCGGCGGCTGCCTGCGGGGGAGAGCACAGCTAGCGCGGGCAGCGGGCAGCGGCGCCGCGCCCGGCGCTGCGCTCACCCGTAGCCGCGGTACAGGAGGAGCTCCTCGAAGCGCCGGGGCACCGCCGAGCCGGGCTGGGCCATGGCGGAGCCGAGCCGAGCCGAGCCGAGCCGCGCCGAGCCGCGCCGCACCGAGCGTTACCCGGCGACCAAACGCGGAGGGCGGGGAGCGCCCGCAACCGCCCCCAGCGAGCGCCGCGCCCCGCAGGAAGCGGAAAGCGCCGCTGACCTTCCCCCCTCTCCTCCTCCTCTTCTTCCATCTGCTCCTCCGGCTCCGTGCCCGGAGCATGGCGCTGCCGCGGCTCCTGCGGGCAGGTGAGCGGCGGGACCGGGAGCCGGCCCGGAGCGGCCCGGCCCGCCCGTGTGACCCGCGTGTTTCTGTCCCGCAGCGGCCCCGCGGCTCTACAGCACCGCCCCGGCCCCGGCCCCGGCCCCGGCCCCGGCCCCGGCCCCGGCCCCGGCAGGCAGCCGGCCCCGCGGTGAGTGCTGCCGGGCACGCCTGGCACCCCGGGCTTTGAGCCATGCCCGTGCGCTGCTGTCACCTTGCAGCACCTCTGCAGGCCCGGCTTGTCCCCCCTCAATCAGGGAGTATTTGTTTCCTCTCTCTCAGCTGACGATGACAAGCTGCTGACCGAGCCTCTCAGCCACCCCGACTTCTTCAGCGTGAAGGAGCTCTTCACCCTGAGAGATCTCTTTGATGCTCGGGTGCACCTGGGCCACAAAAAAGGATGTCGGCACAGGTGAGTGATGCTTTTCGTGATCCAGTGCTTGTTGACATCAGGAATGCTTCCCCGGACCACATCTGCTGGATTGGTCTGAGCCTGGAACTGCCCGCACGGGGCAGGGCACGGGGATCCCCCTGGTGTGGGCACTGAGAGGGTGTGACAGCAGGCCAGACACCGTTCTGCAGAGAACACCTCTGTGCCAGCCAGCAGCAGGAGCGTGGGATGGTTCCTGCCCCACAGCCAGAAACGCCCGATGCCCGCACACCCATCCCCGTGTCCCCCGTGCCGCCCTCCCTCTGCCCCCGCAGGTTCATGGAGCCCTACATCTTCGGCTGCCGCCTGGATCAGGACATCATCGACCTGGATCAGACCATGCAGCACCTGCAGCTGGCCCTCAACTTCACGGCCCATGTGGCTTACCGCGGGGGCATCATCCTGTTCGTCAGCCGCCGGCGCCAGTTCTGCCACCTGGTCGAGAGCACGGCGCGGGCGTGCGGGGAGTACGCACACACCCGCTACTGGCAGGGCGGGCTCCTCACCAACGCCCACGTCCTGTTCGGCCCCGGCGTGCGCCTGCCCGACCTCCTCATCTTCCTCAGCACCCTCAACAACGTCTTCGAGCCGCACGTGGCCATCCGTGACGCGGCCAAGATGAACATCCCCACGGTTGGGGTGGTGGACACGAACTGCAACCCGTGTTTGATCAGCTACCCCGTGCCCGGCAACGACGACAGCCCCGCGGCCATGGAGCTCTACTGCAAGCTCTTCAGGATGACCATCATCCGTGCCAAGGACAAGAGGCGGCAGAGCGAGGCCGTCGAGGAGCTGCAGAGGAAAGCCGAGGGCAATTAGAGCCCCGGGGATGGGCTGGGTGCCTCTGCTCCGGTTCCGCGGGGCTGGCTCTGCATCCAGCACAGCTGGCTGCCCGGGGAGGGGACCCCAGTCCTGTGCACGGTGTCCCCACGGCGGTCACAGCCACCCAGGGGCTGTAGCTCCGAAAGATTGTCCAGAGCAACGCAAGGGAAAACGGAGCCAGGCCAGCCCCTGCTCCTGTCCTTGAGTTTGTCACTGTTGCAGGGAGGTGCCGCTGTCCTGTGGCTTCCCTGAGCTGATGATCTCACCTGAAACCACTTGTGTCTTGTGTCTGTTCTTACAAATAAAGGGATTTATCCCCCTGATCCTTCTTGGGGTTTTCCCTAGTGGAATGGGATGGGGAATCTGACTGGGGCAGTCACAGCAATGGGAGGGAAAGATTGTCCCCAAGCTGGGTGACAGGGTCCCCAGTGGGAGTCAGAGGGTCCCCACTTTGTCCCAGGATACACTGGGAGCCCAATCTTTGCCACCACGGGACATGGGGCACTCCAGGAGCAGCTAAAAAAAGGAATATCCATCCCTTATAGCCTCATGTCTATGTGGGAGGCCCTAGAGCAGTCCTGGGCAGGGGTCTCTGTCCCCTGTCCAGTGTCCCCCGTCCCATGTCCTATCCCGTGTCCCATCCCCTGTTCCCTGTCCTGTCCCGTGTCCCGTCCTGTGTCCCCAGTCCCGTGTCCCCCATCCCGTCACATCATGTGTCACATCCTGTGTCCCGTGTCACATCCCGTGTCCCGTCCCATGTCCCCCATCTCATGTCCCATCCTGTGTCCCATCCCCTATCCTGTCCCATGTCTCGTGTTCCCTGTCCTGTATCCTCTCCTCTGTCCCCTCCCGTGTCCCATCTTGTTTTCCCTGTCCCCTCCCCGATCCCATTCCCATGTCCCCTGTCCCGTGTCCCCATTCCCATGTCCCCTGTCCCGTGTCCCCTGTCCCGTGTCCCCCGTCCCGTGTCCCATTCCCGTGTCCCATTCCCGTGTCCCCTGTCCCGTGTCCCCTGTCCCGTGTCCCATTCCCGTGTCCCCTTCCCGTGTCCCCTGTCCCCTGTCCCATTCCCGTGTCCCCTGTCCCATGTCCCCATTCCCGTGTCCCCTGTCCCGTGTCCCATTCCCCTGTCCCATTCCCCTGTCCCATTCCCGTGTCCCCATTCCCGTGTCCCATTCCTGTGTCCCATTCCCGTGTCCCCATTCCCGTGCCCCATTTCCCTGTCCCATTCCTGTGTCCCCATTCCCGTGTCCCCATTCCCGTGTCCCATTCCCGTGTCCCATTCCCGTGTCCCTGTCCCGTGTCCCATTCCCCTCTCCCACTCCCGTGTCCCATTCTCGTGTCCGCTGTCCCGTGTCCCCTGTCCCGTGTCCCATTCCCGTGTCCCATTCCCGTGTCCCCATTCCCGTGTCCCATTCCTGTGTCCCCATTCCCGTGTCCCCATTCCCGTGTCCCATTCCCGTGTCCCACTCCCGTGTCCCATTCCCGTGTCCCACTCCCGTGTCCCCATTCCCGTGTCCCACTCCCGTGTCCCACTCCCGTGTCCCATTCCCGTGTCCCCTGTCCCGTGTCTCCTGTCCCGTGTCCCATTCCCGTATCCCACTCCCGTGTCCCACTCCCGTGTCCCATTCCCGTGTCCCATTCCCGTGTCCCCTGTCCCGTGTCTCCTGTCCCGTGTCCCATTCCCGCGTCCCATTCCCGTGTCCCATTCCCGTGTCCCCATTCCCGTGTCCCCTGTCCCGTCCCGTGTCCCCTGTCCCGTGTCCCATTCCCGTGTCCCATTCCCGTGTCCCATTCCCGTGTCCCCNTTCCCGTGTTCCCATTCCCGTGTCCCACTCCCGTGTCCCATTCCCGTGTCCCCTGTCCCGTGTCTCCTGTCCCGTGTCCCATTCCCGTGTCCCATTCCCGTGTCCCCTGTCCCGTGTCCCATTCCCGTGTCCCGTCCCTGCCCGCTCCCGGCTCTGGGTCCTCCCGCCCGGCAGGGGGCGCTGGCGGGCGGCAGAGCGGCGCGCGCGCGCGGCCATTCCCGCACTATATAAGCGCGAGGTGCGCACGGCAGCGCCCTTTCGGCGGGCGCGGGGCGGCGGGAGCGGAGCTCCGGGAGCGGACCCGCGACCGGGACCGGGACCGGGACCGGGACCGGCCTCGGCCTCTCCCGGCCGGGCCAGCGGGAAGCCCCGCGTCCCTCATGCGCAGGACGCCGCACTGCGCCTTCCGCCGCCGTGTTGTGGCGAGGCTCCCCCAGGGCCGGAGCCGCGTCCCGCCGGCCCCGGGCGAGGTGAGCTGGGAGCGGCTCCGAGCCCCGCCGGGCTCCCGGGGCTGCCACGTGCGCTGCAAATCCCGCAGGTCGGGGAATGCGCTAGCGGCAAATATCTATATAATCGATGCTTTAATATGGTACTAACAATGTATCTATAACCAATACATTAATATGGTACTAATAATATATAAGATAATATAAAAAAATATCTACCTGTAATCAATATTTCAATTATACTAATAATATATCTATAATCAATACATTAATATGGTACTAATAATATATAAGATAATATAACAAAATATCTACCTGTAATCAATACTTTAATGATACTAATAATATGCCTATAATCAATACATTATGGTACTAATATATAACCAATACATTAATATGGTACTAATAATATATAAAATAATATTTATAATCAATACATTAATACATATTAATGCCATATTAATGTTTTGATATATATTGTGGTATAATTTATATATATTGATTATTGTGATGTAATTATATTTTGTGATGTATTGGTTATATATTGTGAACTGAATATATGCTAAGGTACATAATTTTTATATATATATAAATATATATATTGAAATATGTATATAGAGATATATATCTGTAATAGAAAGCATATGCAGATGTATATTTTTTTAATATACTCTACTGAAAAAGGGGAAGAAAATTTAGGAGAATGTTTTTAAATATTTTAGTAGTTTTCAGTTAAGCTATGTGTTTCACCAAAAAAAAAAAAAAAGGTTATTACGTGATTATTAACAGCATTTTGCCTTTGTTTTTCTTTCTTCAGCATGCAGAAAAAAATGAAGTGACCAGGATGCTGCGAGTTCAGAAATGAAGGGTGATCCTTCAGAAAAAGGCTGCCTGAGCAAGCTTCAGCCACCTTCCTGACTGTAAGTGGAGTGCTGCATGTGGTATCTCCACGTGCAGCAAATTCCTTTGTAAAACTGCTTTTAAGTAGGTGATAAAAATCTCCTTTTAAATCCAACAGAATCATGGAGTGGTTTGGGTTGGAAGAGCTCCTTCCACTCTCCATGCTGCTCAGAGCTGCATGCAGCCTGGCCTTGAGCACTTCCAGGGATGGACCTGCACCCATAATTGAGTTTTTTCAGTGTTCTGGGGTTATTCTCCCCCCAGGCTGCCACTGGCGTTGCAGAGATGGCTGCTGTGGCATCTTTGTGTCAAAGAGTGGCAAGAGAGACCCAGGCTATGTTCTACGCTCGTTTGTTCTGCACCCCGTGGGCACTCGGAGTGATTGATAGCCTGACATCCTTCATCAGCCTGAAGGGAAACCGGGGAAAAACCAACCCTGAGCTGCTTGGGCTGTGAGGTCTGGGTGTTCAGAAGGGGAGGTTCTGTTCTAGGCTGCACGTGGGGTTCTGGTCCTGTGGTACAGGAGAATAAGTGGAAGTGATCTGTAAAACCACGTGGCAACACTGGGACTTCATCCTGTCAGAAAATAAGAATATTTCTTTGTATTGTAAATGTATGTGAGCCTGGTGGGAAGAAATGGTGATGCGTGACTTTAGTTCAGAAGGCTGAATGATTTCTTTATTATAACTATACTATAATACATTAATATACTATTTAAAGGAAATAATAAAACTACAAACCTAATTTTGTAACTATATCTAACTACAACTTACGACTTCTTGAGAGTCCAGCCAGAGGTGAGTTGGATTGGCCATCAGGCTCAAACAATCCTTACTAGAATTTAATCAAGGACTCACCCCAGGTAAACAATTCTCCAGACACATTCCACATGGGAAAAGCAAGGAGCAGAAATAGAAATCGTTTTCTCCTTCTTTTCTCTCTTCTTTTCTGTGCTCCTGTATGAATAAATCCTGAGAGAGAGGAGAATGTGCCTGCCACATATATGCTGTTAATTCATTCCTTATAAATTCCTGCTGGCAGTGAAGCAGTTTAACCAGACTATGGGGATGTGTGGCTGAAGGCTGTCCATGTGTTTTTCTCCTATTCCAGAGGCAGACCTGGAGGAGCCTAAAACTGATCATCTGTGTTTTCTCTACATGGTTAAGAAGGATTTAAATTTAAAAAAAAAACCTAAATAAAGATGCCACCTCCAAGACTGGAAGGATTATGCTGTGTGTTTGTAGCACCCCAAGTAATGCTATTTTTTAACCATTCTAGCCCAGCCCAGGTGAGCCGCAGTGCCAGCCCCAGCTCAGGTGAGCTGCCAGCCCCAGCCCAGGTGAGTTGCAGGGGCAGTGCCAGCCCTGCCCAGGTGAGCTGCAGTGCTGGCAGTGCCAGCCCCTGCCCCAGCTCCGTGTTGCAGGCGTGGCTGCAGTGCCATGGCTGTGTCTTTTGGTGGCAGACAGGAACAGGCGAGGTCTTCCCTGGTGCTCCGAGCCCTGTGAGCTCTCAGGATTGCTCAACAACCTGACACGTGCTGTTCTTTCCTGCCCTCTTGCCTTTGGTGGGGAATGGTGGAGGATGGACACTGTCCTTCAGTCCTTCTCTTCATCACCTTCTGCTGTCCCAGCTTGCACAGGTGTCCCTGTGTGCAGTTGGTGCTGTGTGTCACTGTCCCTTCTTGAGGGACAGCAGAAACAGCAAGAGCAGCTCTGGGCACGCAGAGATTGTGACCCTGAGCTTTGCAGTGAGTAACTCTGGCACTGCCAAATGGGAAACCTCATTAAATGGCCATTACGGGGCCAAAGGGGCCTCAGTGGTGCAAAAAGAACCTTTAATTGGCAACAGTCACTGGCTGTGGAAGAGAATCTTAATAAGGTGGTGGGGATGTGGGTATGCTTGAGGATGTGGCTCTTTTATTTAAATTTCTTGACTTCTTTTAACCCTGCAATCCGTGTTTGGGGTTTTTCATCAGGCTTTCCTCACACCAGGGGTCCTGCGTGGGCACTGAGTGCTAATGAGTGTCTCTTTAGAACTTCCCTGTGTGAGGCACAGCAGAACCATGAACGTTTCCCTGATGGCATTTACTGAAACATTTACAGCACTCCTGGCCATGGATATTGCTTTACTGAAGGAAAAACTGGCTCTCAGCTGTGGAAAACGTGAATGTTTTGCATAAAAGTGGTTTAGAGAGAAATTAAAAATCTCTCTGCACATAGCACAGCCCTTCATCATCAAGGACTGGTTTATGTCATGGCTTTAAAGGCTGGAAAAAGCCCAGATTTTTTTTTTTTCTCTGCACTATTAATAGCTTGGCTCTGCACCGAGGTTGGCAAACTCACCTTGGATTTTTAGAGTGATGGAATAACCCAGAGCAGGCTCCAGCCTATCCTGCTCTTAAATTATCCCTTTCCTAAACTCCCCATGCCAGATATTTTCCCAAAACCCTTCTGATGCCATGCCAAAGAGCTTCTCCTAAATTTGTGCCATGTCCTTCTGGACTGAGGTAATCCCTGTCTAAAAGTTTCCTTGTGAATCCTGATAACAGCCTTAAAATATGGTTTCATTTTATATTTCATCTTTATTTCTCCTGGGATGTGTAAAATCTTAGGACAACCCAAAGCCAGTGTGGGTAGCAGAGTCTGGATGGCACGGGTTAATTAGCTCATTAGTACTGACTTCATTGCTTCCTTTTCTTGCCTGTTTTTCAACTTTTCTGATAGCTTGGGCCTTATTTTTTTATTTGCAGATTATGCCTTGAGCTGCAGAATGTCTGACAAACATGGCAACAGAACTGGCTGGCAGCATCCACGTCTGATGGTTTGGAGATTCCCAAAACTGATCATCTGTGTTTTCTCTACATGGTTAAGAAGGATTTAAATTTTAAAAAAAAAAAAAAAACTAAATAAAGATGCCACCTACAAGACTGGAAGGATTATGCTGTGTGTTTGTAGCACCCCAAGTAATGCTATTTTTTTAACCATTCTAGGATGTAAGACTTTGTGGATATGATAATTTAGGGTTGTTTTAAAGCAGTTAAAAGGTTTTACCTCCATCCCCTTGGGCACAAAGGGGATCCAGTAAGACTCAGTCATGGAGTGTCCTGGCTTTTTTTCCAACTCCTGTGGGGAATCTGGAGGAATTCTGAGTGTAGAACAGCTTTGCCTTGACTCATTTCTCTCCTGTATCCTGATGTGGTTTGTAAACTGTATAAACCACTTTGTGTTTTTATTAGTGATGAGCAGAATTCCTGGGCGTGTGCAGGGCCAGGGGGGCGTACATTAATGGAACAGTTGTCACAAGTGTCTTTATTTCAATTAAACTGTCAGGGCCAGGTCTCAGCTACAGGGGCCACCTCTTCATAAACACAGAGGTTCTGGTGCTGGGGAAATTGTTTTCCTCCACTTCTCCAGGTGCTTTAACACTGCTTTGAGGGAACAGCAGGGATTTAGTGGGAGCCAACAATAGTGGGAAGGATGGAAAATGGTTTTTTTTTGCTGCCCTGAGGAGGGGATTTTGGCAGGGGCTTGGATTCCTTTGCTGGTGGCAGGAGGAGATGGATTTGTCAGGGGAGCTGTTGCCATGGGGATGCAGGACAAGGGATGAGGAGCCTGAATTCCAGCAAATTCCAGCCCTGCCTTTCCCTCCCTGCAGCTGCACACGGGGCCTTGGCAGTGCCCAAACCCCATCCAGGCTGAGGAGCCCTTCAAGCACAGAATCCTTGGCAGTGCTCACCTTTTCCATGGATAAATCACATTTCAGAGGCCACTCAGCAGGGAGCGAGCTCTGCTGGATACGGAGCACTCCTGACACCAAAACGTGCCCAGTGAGAGGTGATGAGCCTCCTAAAGAACCAACAGAAGGAAAATCCTGATCTTCCTCCCCAGAGGGCTCCTAAATTTGCAGCCCTGGTGCTGCGGTGTCAGGTGTATTTTTATTCTGTGATTGCACATCAGCTGCACGCTCACTTCCCTAAGGAATTGCTGCGGGAGAAGCAGCACTTGCTCCAGCAGCAGGAATATGGCTGTGCTGGGAACAGAGCAACCTCGGGGGAGTTTATCCAGCTCCTCCCTGCCCAGAGCTGTGAGATTGCTATAATTGAGCATTTCTAGGAAACGGCCATAGTTGGAGCCCTGGGAGCACAAACACAGCCAAAAAAAAAACCGTCTGGAGACCTGCTAAAAGCTTTGCCTGGAAATTCATTTTAATAATGAGAGAAGCACTGGATTATTCTGGTATTAACCTTCAACCTCGGCAGGGCAAGCCCAGCTTAGTTTTTGGAGAATGAAAACGGAGGGTTTGGCTTATCCCTGCTCGGAGTGCGGTGGGCAGTGACAGCCGAGCACTCGAGGGGGTCACAAATTCGTCTTTAGCCCTTTGCCTTTAAGCCATCCTCGGCCTCGGCCGCTTCCAGAGCGGAGCCGTGAGGGAATGGCTTCTGCTGCCAATTGCAGACTGGGGGCAGGAGCAGCTGGGGGGAGCCTCTCACAACTCACGGCATCGCCGGCAGGGTCAGGCACTTAAAAACGGAACCAAAGGACTGCCACGATTCTCCGCAGTGCAACAGATAGCTGAGCTGCTTCCTGTGTGCCAGCTGGAGCTGGTGGCAGATGACTCAGACACTTCAGGAGAGATTTTGAAAGGGGAAATCTACCTTTTCCTCCTTTTTAGATCACAAACAAGCTGGTACTTAACAGGCTGCTGTTTGGCTGTTGATGGATGGGTGTGATTCACGTAAAAGCTGTTTATTTACATCAGAGCCGTTCCTCAAAAGGAGATGTGACAAGTACAGCGTGAATGCTTCATTCCCATCGCTTTGCTCTGCTTTCCTGCTCATCAAGGAACAGTTTGATGCATCCAGCTGGGCTCCGCTTCCGTGTCCTCTTCCTCCCCCAAGCCTGCTCAGCCCAGCTCCGTGTCCCAGCTCCGCTCCTGCCGATCCATCCCGATCCTGCTGGGTGGTGCAAGCCATGACGCTTGGTTTTCCATGAAAGGAGAAGGGGCTGCAGCTCTGCTGAACTCCCTGTGCAGGGTGTTTTTCCTGGGGGGGAGAGGATGGAGAAACAGGCCTTCAGCCCTTGGGCCTCACTCCAAGCTCACAGATTGGAAACTCCAGGGCCGTGCTTCCCCCGTTAGGAATATTTGGTGTTGGAAATCTTCTTCCAGAGCAAGGTCTTGAGGTTGTTGAGCACGAGGGAGTGGTGCACTTCCATCTGGCTGGCCAGGCCACTGAGGGTCATGCACGTTCGGAGCTGCTTCTGCAGCTCTTCCTTCAGCTCCAGGGGAGCTCCGTAGAGCAGATAGTCCTGCAGCAGCCCGCACACCTTGGCCAGGTTGGGCTGCACCACGTCGCTCTTGCACTGCTTCAGCAGCTTGTCACACGTGGCCGTGCAGTCCCGCCCGTAGGTGCAGTCCCCGTTCTGCTCGCAGTGCCGGCCCTTGAGGAATCCTCTGATTGTCATCTCCGTCGCCACCTTGCGCAGCTTCACCATTTTGAAGTCGTACTTGTCGTTGTAGCCCACGTTCCTGAGGCTGCTCTCGCAGATGTAGAAGTTCCCGTAGGTCCCGTGGAAGATTTCCTCCACGAACTCCAGCAGGCCGATGGCGATCTTGGCGCGCCGGGGCCAGGCCGGCGCGAACCACTGGTGGATGAGCTGGTGGGCGATGGAAGGCAGCAGGGACTGCAGGAAAGGGGGGACATCCACCCCGTACAGGGACGTGTGGGGGATCTTCTCGGTGACATAAAGGTCCCCACAGTGCCCCAGCAGCTTGGCCGTGTGCTCCTTCTCATGCAGGGAGAACATGAGGAGGAACTCGTTGAGCTGAAGCAGCGCCCAGATGGATTTGGCCTCTGCCAGGGACACCTTCCCGTCATGGTTCACGTCTGCCATGGTGATGATCCGGCTCACCAAGGCAGGAAGAGATGGCTGATCCCCCAGCTTGGACTGCAAACGGGACAAGAAATGGCATCAGACCCTCACAGCTCTCCATGTTTGGGTGTCACGTCACAAAACCGAACCGGGGGAGCAAAGAACTGAGCTGGGGAGAGGAGGAAATGGTGACGCTCCACAAAATCCAGTGCCACACCATGCGTGGGCAGATCCAGCTCCAGCAGAATTTTACCAGCCTCAGGGCTGCTCTAGAGCCTCCTGCCAGAGCTGCTACCCCACCACTGCTGCAGAAGCCCCGACAGGGGTAACTACCAGGGCCACCAAATCAGCTCTGCCCAGCACAGATGCCATCCACAGCTGTGGCACAGCCACCTCCAGGGATGCTGCTACTGAAATCTCACAATAAGAACTCATTTCCTCCTCTAAAGCAGTGCATGGCACTGCCACCCAGCACTGGTGGGGGGCACGGGCAGGTGGAGCTCTCGTTCCAAGGCAAGGACAAACACAGTTGGTGTTTCTGACTCGCAGGAGCCACCCCAGGCCTGTGGGATCCCTCACTGACCTTCAGGAAGTTGAGGAGCATTTCCTTGAACTCGTCCATGGAGGTTCCCCGTGTGGGTTTGTCGAAGAGCACCACGTCCCTCCTGGGCACAGAGTCCGGGCGGCTGTCGGCCCTCAGCGCTTCCCCGATGCCACATTTGATGATCACCTCCCTGTCCCTCCAGAGCCCTCTGTAAACCTGGAGCACAGGGAGGGGGACAGCAGCTGGAGGGAGCTGGGTTCTGGTTTGGGATGGGCAGAGGGGCAGATGTGCAGGGTTTGGTGCTGGTGCCCAGCCCCTGGCATGGCTGGGGGGCACAGACCTACCTGCTGGCTGGGGGAGGAGGAGAGGCAGTGCTGGAAGAGGAGGATGCGCTCCTCACACAGGTCCTTACACGTGGAGCCAGAAATGATCCCTTTCTTGTACTGGTCACACTGGGGAGAGCAAGGAGAGAGAGGAGCTCAGCAGGGACAGATTTCTGCTGGCCCTTAGGGATGGATCAATGCCATGGGTGTGGTGGGGCTGGGCTGGCAGGGACCCCTGTGCTGCAGGAGGGATCTCAGGGATTTGATCCTAGGTGATGCTGCTGCAAATCCAGGGGCCTGGGAGAACTTCCCGGGCTGGAGCAGAGCACAGTGTGGAGTTGGGAGAGGATGCACAGGCTCAGGCAGCTCAGGAGAGCAGCAGTCCCTGCTGTGAGCCAGGCTGGCCCCAGTCCCAGGGGTGGCAGGGACAGGGACAGACAGTGGCTCTGATCCGTGGCCAGGCTGGAGCTGGAGACATCCCTGGGCAGGAGAGGCTGCAGCTCTGCAGCTCCTCAGCGAGGGCACGGCAGCCTCAGGGCTGGAAGCTGGAGCTGCAGACATTCACTGCATCTTTTCCTTTTTTTTTTTTCTGCTGTGGATGGGAATTAACCCTTGGATCTGCTCACAGGGGACACGGCCAGACACGGTGCCTGGATGCCCCAGCTCCGAGCAGGAATTAGCGCCCGAGACCCCGCGGTCGGAGTCAGGCAGAAAATCGAATTAAACGTCGCTGTTGTTATGGCAATTCCAGCCTCCCTTCTCTGCTGTGGGATTGATGAACGAGGCTTGTTCTGACACAGCCCAGCTCCCCCTCCTCGCCTGGGCTGGGCTGAGCCCCACTGCCACACCAGGGGCACACACACAGCACTCCTGGGGCACCCCACCATGGGGAACACAGAACGGGCACCACCCTGCAAACCCCAAAGAGGCAAACACAGAGCCAGGCTGCCACCCAGAGCTCTGCTCCTTTCTTTCCTTGGGGCTCCCCTGCAAACCCCAAAGAGGCAAACACAGAGCCAGGCTGCCACCCAGAGCTCTGCTGCTTTCTTTCCTTGGGGCTGCTCAGCCATCACAGACAGGTGCCATGGACTGCGTGCTCCCTTTTTCCTCCTGTTCTGCAGAGCCCAGATGGGACTGGTGCCATGCTGTCCCTGCCTGCAGATCCTGCTCCCTGCCCTGCCATTCCAGCTTC